CTTAGCCTCACTTGTATTATTCTATCTTTACCACCTGTAAAGGGCAGCAAAAACAAATCAAAAGGACTCAGGAATGTCCCTCCTGTGTCTAATCTCTTGGCAGGAAGTCTATTAACTAGCAACTTACAATTTTGACTACTATAACCCCCTAAAAAATTTAAATTGAAACAAGAGTACTAAGAACTCCAGTAAAGTAGATCAAAGGACAGAAGAACATGCCATGCTGCCAATTTATACCATCAAGTCAGTTAAAGAAGGAAACCATTAAGACAACATTTCGTCTCATTCAAGTACCTTAGTGAATTTAATCTCATTACCCATTTCATGTTATTCTATTGAGTTACATCACTAAATCAGAATTTGGTCTTATTCATAAACTCAATTTTGATTTGCTGCTCTCATTGCTTCCAAGAAGTTAAAAAAAAGATGGTTCAAGTGTTTATTAAAAGTTATTAATGTAAAATCACTAATTATTGGCAATGCTGGTATTCATCATCAACTAACGTACTATTTTAAGAACTTAAGATTTCCTATTGGGGCGGGGGGAGAGTTAAAAAAAAAGATTTCCTATTAAAGAAATCAACTTAAAATATTATCTACACCAGTCACATATTATTTGAGGAAAACAATTTGTATTTTGAACCAGCATTCTGTAAATTGTCCTTCCTGAACAAGTGTTCCTACATAGACTTGACATGGGGATGCCCATATATGCCTGTTTTGTCCAGAAGAGTAATGGTTCATATTTATGCTAAAATAATAATTAATCTATTCTCAAAATATTTCAGTTTGGGCTGGGTGCAGTGTCACAAGCCTATAATCCCAGCGGCTTGGGAGGCTGAGGCAGGAGGATCACAAGTCTGAGACCAGCCTCAGCAATTCAGCAAGACCTGTCTCTAAATAAAATATAAAATAGGGCTGGGGATGTGGCCCAGTGGTTGAGTGTCAATCCCCAGTACCAAAAAAAAAAAAAAAAAAAAGGTATTTCAGTTTGGGTACTTTATATGGTCACCTTAGTTTTAACTACTATTAAAGGGAACTTTGATCAATGAAAATTATAGCTAACTTCTTCCTACAGTTGTAGAGATTAGGAGGAAGGGGACTTTTTTCACTCCAGAAAAAATTTAAAACATTTAACACAAATATCTCCTTCTCTGCCAGAAAGTTTCATGTTCATTAATATTCAGACTCCATTAAACCATCAAACATTGTAACAGCAACTTAACCTGCAGTTGTAAAATTACAAGACGTCCATAAATCTATATGTATACACCAGATGCTGTCTATAGATATGTCTTGCACATATGTAGGTGCTATTATGATTATTGAAGAAAAAAAGACACAAATATGATTGGTATCTTATACTAGTTATCAAAACTCTGTGGTGCACACCTGTAATCCTAGTTACTCAGGAGGCTGAGGCAGAAGGATCCCAAGCTCCATGGTAAAGCACCCCCTGATTCAATCTCAAGTATCCACAAACAAAACACAACACAACTTCAAAGTACTGCATAACCTGGATACTTCTAGAAATCAACAGGCCATAAGGTTTTAGAAATATTTGTGTTATACAAAATTTTAAGAAGTAGACTTACAAAAGAAACAGTTGTCCCCATTCTAGGCAGTGCCCCAATTCTAGCAACTCACTGATCTTAGACAAGACTTCTCACATTCTAATTTGTAATCCACACTAAGGTAAATCCAGGAAATAGGAGGTTGATCAATGATGTGTTCTATTTCCCAGACCACCAGAGCTATGGAAGAAGTAATATACACATAGTATAATCCCATAAATACACATACCCCATTTAACCTATGGTATTAGTTAACACCTCGCTACATGTTCACTAATCTGAAAGATATTCATCAGCCTAATATTTCTAGGAATTTTACTATTAATTAACCTTTTCCTAAAACCTTTTCTAATTTTCAAATTAAGTTTACCAACCTGTATCAAGAGCTCTAATAGTTGAAACAAACTGTAACAGAACACCAACAACAAAAAAGCAGGGATAATTGCAAGGTATGTCTCACCTGCTTCATAAAGTAGATTATTTTTAAGAGTTAACCTGTTTTTTGGTTTTTTTTTTTTGGAGGGGAAGCTGGGAGTACTGGGGATTGAACCCTGAGGTGCTTTACCGCTGAGCTGTTCCCAAGTCCCTTTTCAAAATTTTGAGATAGGTTCTTGCTAAGTTCCTGAGACTGGACTTGAACTTGCCATCCTCCTACCTCAGCCTCTCGTGTAGCTGGGATTACAGGTATCACCACCCCCAGCTAAGTTAACAAAACTTTTTAGTGCAACATAACCTAAAGACTTATTACAACTTTTCATTTTCACTGCATTTCTGATGTAACTGGGCAACAGGGAGGTCTAGGGGCATTAAAGTTTGGTGACTTGAATGTGGGACAGACCTGAGATAAAATGAAGGTTCCACCATTCACTAGCTTTTTAACAGAGGACAAATTACTTAACTTTCAGTGCTCTCTGTAAAAATTAACATCCTCTCAGGATGCTTTGTAGTAGTACACAAGCCCTCAACAGAAGTTAGTTATGAATTTAGGCTATCCATCCCAGTTTGCCTATGATAATCCAGGTTTGCACTATTAATAATGTTCCTTTTGCTTTTAAAAGTGTCCTGGTTAGGGCAATAAATCTATGTGGTTACTTTAACAACGGTGATGATAATAAAAGGAATTAACATCAATTAGGGTATTATATACCAATGATTTTTGAATCGTGAAGGGGAAAAAATCAAATACCACACACAATAATGTAAATTACATTCCTGTAAGATATTCTGATATTTAGCTATTCACTGAAATTAAAAAGCTATTTTATTTTTATATTTGGGTTGTTCTAACAATGATTTAAGGCAATAATTTTTTGTTCTTTCTGTTCTATACAGGTATTGATAAAGAGTAAAATTCACAGATAAAGCACTGGTGAGTTCAGGTACTGAGAAACATTACCCTTTGAATTCCCAGTGAAAAGTACCCATTCTCATCATGAAGAATGCCCAACACCAACTAATATATATCAATGAGCCCATCCAACCACAGGGCCTGTAAAACAGAACAATAAATATTTATAAACATGCATTCTACATATAAATCATCAGGAGACGCAACAAAAAATAAATTACCTGACTGTTATGACATAGTATTGAATTACAATAAACTGGATTTTAGTTTTCTTCACACTCTGCTCTAGAAAAAAAAAGAATCCATTATTCTTCCTCTTTTATAAGATACATTTCTTTTTTTGAAATAAGACACATCCTTTAAAAATACACATCCTATGTATTTTAGTTATACAACCATAACCCAATATTAGTACCAGAATATTTGGGGAGATCAAGAAAGTGAGAGGGAACCAGGAATTAGTATAAGATTTCCTTTACAGGCTGAGAGGCAATCTACTTTTTAATATAAACTTGCTTAAAATAGGCCTTTCCTTATCAGACCAGTAATTATTTTCAGATTCTGATAGTCACTTTCAATGCCTTATTTGGCACATTACACTAGCTAAGGCAGGGACTAAGATACTTTAAAAAAATCACCACATTTGTGACATGTTTCAATAAGAGGAGTCTGTCCTAAAATTGTATTAAGAAGGATTTGGGTTCATCTTTTTGGGTACTTATATTTTCACAGTTTAGAAAACTATTTGAGTAGGGGGCAGGCCTATAACTGTGCCTGCCTGCTCTCAAGTCCTCCAGGACTAACACAATATACCTGATGGAGGTGATATGAGTAATTACTTTGTAATCACGAAGAGCCAAAGAAATGGTTATTAGTACATTTATCATTTCTTCCTCTCTTCAATCATCAAAAGCACTGCAGTTAATTCTGCCCCAGGAATTGCAGGCTCCTTATTTCCAGCAAAAAATTACTGTGGGGCCTTGCAAATGGTGCATGACAATCTGATATAAATACTTCCTTTTGCCCCCAAACGAAAAAAATGACCTAAATAACAAGTCAGGAAGGCCTCAGATTCCCGGACTAACCTGTGGAATAAGTATGGTGAAACTGTCTAGGGAAGGAACGTGGCTGTCTCCTCCATCTTGAAATTAATCAGCATAAGGGAAAAAGGGACTGAGTATTCAGGAAGCAGAAGCCCAACCGGTTAATACTAGTTACTTAGCTATGGCGTACGTGGCAGGTACCGCCCGCAGAAGCAGAGAGACCCTTAGGCTTTTTTTTTTTTTGTGGGGGGAGGGGGTTGGGTTGTTGGGAGGATTGAACGGAAATTAACTTGAAAATAATTTGGCCAAACTCCCAACCTTACCCAGAGAAAGACAACAAACATGCAACGGCTTTTCCCTCCCTTTTGGGGGGGGGGGGATCCTTCCAGTGATAACTGGCAAAGGATACACCAGGGTTATAAGAGCAAGGGAGTAAACCACAGTTGCCTCAGTTCCTTCAAGGAAGATGTCATCGCGGCCCCAGGGGGCGCCTAATTGGTAAAGCCCTGCATAAGGGCTCAAAATAGGGTTTTGTAAATCCTGGGAAAATCTAAAGGCCCAAAAGTTCCCAGCATCCGACTCGGAGCAGCCAGATATTACCCCTTTTCCCAAACCCGAGCCCGCCATGTAAAACGAGGGGTGGAGAGGGAAGCCTCCCCCCAAGAACAGAGAGAAAAACCCGAGGCACTGTAAGATTCTCACGCCCGAGGCCAAAACTCAAACACCGCCTCCCCTTAATTCTTAAGGCTCCGGAGGGCCCGGGGCTGCGGCTCGCGGGGCCACGGAGAGGAACTACTACCCACCTCCTCTTCCCCTTCTTCAAAGAGCCGGACGAGTATACCACCCAACTAAAATGGCAGCGGCGACTACGCCACGGAGCCCCCCGCAGCAACGGGCCTGGGGTCCGGAGGCGGCGCTGAGCCTCTGCCACAACGCGTCACTCGGGCCATTTTGAGAGAACGCGGCAGCAGTGGCTCTGCTGTCTTCCTCTCGCTCTACATCCATTTCTCAGAGGATTCCCATGTCTTCACTTACTCGGTTTTAGGGTCAGGATCTCACTCGGTTGTTTCGGCCGTCTCCGCTGAGGCTTCTCCGCGCCTCCCCAGCCGCCTCTCTCAAGCCCGCCTCCGATGAGTCGCTGGTTGAGACCCGCCTCTACCCCAGCGCCTGCTCCGAGACGTTGCTCAGGCAGCCATTATCTTCCCCATTGTTACCAAGCAGCGACAGGAAACGACTGCCCACAACAGGAAGTGATGATGCCGCGTCCGGGCTCCGCAGCCCCTCTCCCAGCCAGTTAGCCAATCCCAGTCGATTCCTTGAAAAGGCACGGCGGGCAGAGGAGGGGGACGGCCGACGACGCGGCAAGGCGGGCGTGGGTTTGGAAAAGGAAAGCTGCTATGACGCCCACCATGTGACAGGCCCCACCCTCTTCCGCCATTTTGAATTGTGGCGAGAAATTCGCGTTCTGAGAATTGTGGGAACCTTTGCTTTCCCATTTTGTAAACTGAAGGACGTCACCGCCTGGCTGCTTGAAGCCTTTTTCAGAGAGCGTGAAATGTGGTATTAGTCTAATCTAGTATCGATTTACACAGTCAGTCCAGACCAGCTCATACAGCATCCTGCATTTAATTCAACATACATTTATTGAGCACCAACTCTAGGTCAGGCACCGTCGTGAATGTTGAGAAAATGAAAGTAGACCAAAATTTTAAAGTAAGAAATTAAAATAGACTAAAACCTCAGTTCTCGTAACTCTTGATAATCACTAGGATTTAAAAAACAAAACTATCACATTACATTACATTAGTCATTGATAAATGCTAGGGAGAAAATTTGGGTAAAGGAGGTAATAGGGATGACAAAGTATCCTGTAGGGGCAAAAGGGAATTACAGTGTTTAAAAGTGGTAGAAAACAATCTAGGGTGGTAATTCTTTGAAATACTTGAAAAGGGTTGGGTGATGGTAAAAGAAAGGGAAAATCTGATAGGAGTGGAATTCATCAAAGGGTGGTTAAGAAAGCCTCTCAGATGGTAATGCCTGAAGGAATGGGGAGAATGTGCCCGTAGCATCCAATTCCTCCTCACAGTTAAGAAAAATAATCTTACCCAGGTTTTAGGGGTGCTTCTTGCCTCCCTCGTTTTTCTGGTTTCTGATAACACAATAGCCAGGGTGACTTTTTTACTATTTTCCCAACAAACCTACATGTTCCCACCTCAACTCCTTGACCTAAGCTGGCATATTTTTCATTCTTTACTTTCATCATCCAAGCCTCTTAAATACTCACCTCCCCAGAGAAAACCTTTCTTGAGCACCCTATCTACCATACTAATCTCTCCATGCCCCTACTTGCTTAGTTTTCTGTAAGGCACTTACCGAAATATTGGTTTACCCCAATCTTTAAGAGCAGCAATTCTCTGTTTTATTCACTGTTGTAGTCCCATAAACTGCGTAGTAGGCCCTTATATATTTTGGGATAATTGCCCTCTTAGTTATAATGGAGTTTCATTAGCCTGGAATATAAGCAAAATTTCATCCCAAGCCATTAAAACAATACCCTTTATATCCTGCTCATCTTACCAGCAGACTCGATATTTTCATTTTTGACAATGTGATATATGATTTAGGTGATATATATCTATCTAACCAGTTTTTGACTTGTTTTCATAATAACTTACTATAACATTTACCTGGAATGCGTGAAATGAATTCTTCAGTGACCTGAGACTGCCAGCCACTCTGTGACATATTCTTGAGGTGTAAGTAGCTTAAGTAAAATATAAAATCATAAAAGAAGTAGGAGAAAATATTGGTGAATTTCTTTAGCCTTGGGGATGGAGAAGGACTTTCTAAATATAATAAAAATCCATAAAGGAAAAGACTGATAAATACAATTTCCTAAATATAAGTAAAGCTTCAGAATGTTAAAATACAAGGTTAATAAAGTTAAATGACAAACTGAAAAAACTATAATTTCAACATGACATATGATAGCTAAAAGGTAATGTTACTTTATAATGAAACTAAAAGATAAATGACAAACTGGCAAGTAGAATATAAAACACATGGCTAAATATCACTAGTCTATAATAATAAACTATTATGAATTGATTTTTTTAGTGCTGGGGGTTGAACCCTTCTGGCATCTAAACCAATGCTCTCACTGAGCTACATGCCCAGCCCTGATTTTTTTTAATTGAAGGTTTTAAAAACAAGAAGAAGCCACTCAAGTATGAATAGAATCATGAGTCAACTAAAATTTTTAAATAAAAATTCATTTTTAAAAAAGATAAATATCCCAGTTTTTTTATATCTTTATTTATTTTTATGTGGTGCTGAGGATGGAACCCAGGGCCTCACACCTGTGAGGCAAGCACTCTACTACTGAGCTATAGCCCCAGCCCCAAATATCCCAGTTTTAAAATGTGCAAAGGGCCTGGGGTTATAGCTCAGTGGTAGAGCTCTTGCCTAGCACATGTGACACACTGGGTTTCATCCTCAGCACCACATAAAAACAAACAAAAGGTATTGTGTCCATCTACAACTAAATTTTTTTTTTAATGTGCAAGGACACAAATGGGCAATTCAAAAAAGAAAATGCTTGACTGATAATCATATGAAAATATATTCAGCCTCTCTAGTAATCAATGAAAATAAAAACTGATTTCTCTTTTTGCCTATAAGAATTTCCAAGATTTAAAAACTTATTAAGGGGCTGGGATTGTAGCTCAGCGGTAGAGCACTTGCCTAGCATGGGCGGGACCCAGGTTCGATCCTCAGCACCACATAAAAATAAAGGCATTGTGTTGTGTCCATCTACACCTAAAAAAAACTTATTAAGTATTGGGGCTGGGGATGTGGCTCAAGCGGTAGCACGCTCGCCTGGCATGCGTGCGGCCCGGGTTCGATCCTCAGCACCACATAAAAATAAAGGCATTGTGTTGTGTCCATCTACACCTAAAAAAAACTTATTAAGTATTGGGGCTGGGGCTGTAGCTCAGCAGTGGAGCATGTGTCTCGCATGTGTGGGGCCCTGGGTTCCATCCTCAGCACCACATAAATGAAAAATAAAGGTATTGTGTCTACCTACAACTAAAAAAAACTTAAGTATTGATGAAGATTCTATGAAATGGACACATTTTAAAAAAAGAAAGAAAAAAAGAATGAAATGGGCACATCTGTATGCTTAGTGGTACAAATTGATATAACTTTTTACAAGCAATTTGATAATGTGAATCAAAAGCCTCAATATATCCATATTGTTTGACCAACAAATTTCCATTCAGAAATTCACTTTCAGGAAAGAAATGAACAAGTTTGCAAATATGTATTATATATTTATATTTATATATCCCAAAGAGGCTAATTGTAGTGTAGAATGAAAATGTTGAAAAATCAAGAAAGATAACTACTAATTAACAATAATTAGTTAATTACAGTTAGTTCTACATAGTAGTCTACTACATAGGCATTAAAAATGAGTAGCATTCAGCGCCAGGAACGGTGGCACACGCCTATAATCCCAGGGGCTTGGGAGGCTGAGATAGGAGATTGTGAGTTCAAGCGAGGTGCTAAGCAACTTAGTGAGACCCTGTCTCTAAATAAAATACAAAATAGGGCTGGGGATGTGGTTCAGTGGTTGCATGCCTCTGAGTTCAATTCCTGGTACAAATAATAATAATAATAATAATAATTAGAATAATAATAATAAATAATAGCATTCAGGCTGGGGATATAACTCAGAGAGCTGGCGTATCTTGCTAAAAGTCCTGCATTCCATCCCCAGTGTGCCTCCCAGCTCCCAGTGAATAGCATTTGTTCAGGTTATAAATTTAGTGAGAAAAGCAATTTACAAAAGAATATGTATGATTACTTTTTATATTAAAAGGTATGCATAAATATGCTTAGAAAAAGTCTAGATGAGTATACATGCAAATAAAATATGATCTGAATCAATCACTGAATACTTAGTTTTCATTCAGACTAATTGCATTTCCCTTGTCACTTATATGTGATCTTCAAATGGTTTTTATTACTCTTGATCAAGCGATCTTTAAGAAAAAAATAAAACAATGTCCTTCTGTTCATTTTAAGGATACCTGGGCTGTTTGGAAGGGATATGTTTGTACCTATATCAACAAGACCACACACAAGAAGACCCTACCTGTGGCAAGTCCCGACAAATACTTATCCAGGTAATTAACGTTACAAAGAAGACCTGTGTACAAATGGAAGTATATAAAAAGGAGCCTTTAACTGAGAAAAGCTGCCATTTTTAGCTGAGACCTGAAGAGAGAATGATGTTTCAGGAAGACTAGGGAGGAGCCTTGGGAGAGGGAATAGTATTGTAGAAATTCTCTGGGTGATTAAGATAAGCCTGGGAAACTAAATAAATAGCTTATTTTCTGTAACAAATATCCCATTTTATTTTTTTTCACAACACTCATCACATTGGAATTTATCTGGTCTGTTTATTGATTTTATTTGTTTATAGTCTGTCAGTCTTTCCCCCGACCTGCCCCTATCCCTCCTCGTGTAAGCTCCGTGGGAACTGAGGATTTGCCCAATCCCCTCATGGCTGTTATTTTCCAAGCTTAAAATACCTAATAGGCATTCAATCAATATTTCTTGAATGAATTACGAATTAGCTTGAAGTTCTTTTTACGGATTTTGTATCCTATCCGAACAGCAATGGGAGGCTGTTGAAAAGTTTTAAAAAGAGGAGCTATGTTATCCAATTAAAGTTTTTTTTTTTTTTAAAGTTTGGTGGCTGCTATGTGTTTGAAACTAAATTTTTCTTGATAGTGGATAAACTCACTGGTTTTAAGATTTCAGAGAACTGAAAGATAAATATTAAAAAATTCTCTCTCTATTTAAAAAAAATTAAAAAAAGATTTCAGTACTCCCTTATCTTTAAGAAATTCCACTGGCTATGTGGAAAAAAAAGACATCCACAAAATACCAGTTCATTTAGTTTAAGTACTGTCTCCCCTTACCTCTTTCACTACTGGGGATTGAACCCAGGTGTACTCTACTGCTGAGCTAACTCTCCAGGCCTTAACATTTTTAATTGTGAGACAGGGTCTTGCTAAGTTTCCGAAGCTGGCCTGGAACTTGCTGTCCACCTGCCTCAGTTATAGGTGTGTGTCACTGAGCCAGGGAGTGCTTTATTAAAAAAAAAAAAACACTTTTGAGGGGAGTACAAGGAAGT